CACTTCCCATTTTTGTTTACATTTTATTACTGAAAGCGTTTCTCACCTACCAAAGTTATAATGGAACTGGATTTCCCATGGAGTACACATTTTAAAAACTGTAGCCTATAGTTTCAGGTTGCACAAATTGCTAATAAATGTGAACTTATTGTTTGCCACTCATCTTCCTTCAAAGTAAAAAGTATTAAATTCAAAAAAAAGTGTCCTGGATTTTTATTTTCCTCCTTCAAGATTTGAAGTTGAAATTTTGTTTAAAACTCAATCTCACAGGTGACCAAAAACCTCTAATTCAATTTCCACAATTAACCAAAATTCTGGTTCTTCTAACGCATCAGGCTAGACAATTTTACTTTTGAGAACAGTTAGGAGACACACAGTGAAGGCACAACACATTTTGGGTACAGACAACTGTCGTCTACCAACAAGACATACAGGTTACTTTTATCATAAGCAGGGTGGTTATTTTGTCCAGAATTTAAAACAGAGTTTTCAGCACTTAATGCTGATTAAAGGTAAATGGTAAGTTATCCTGAGTGGAAGAATTACAGAAATGAGTGACAGTGGATTGATTCCCCAGTTTGAATGTTTTGATCTCTGCTCACAGTCTGCAACTTCATCACATTGGAAAACTGGATAAAAAGCAACCAGCAGCACATAATAGCCAGAACATCGAGATGACTGAAAAGTTAGCAAGTTAGTTACAATATAACAAATCAAATTGTCTCATGGTACGGAGGAAAACTACAAATAAAGGAGAAGTTGTACAAATAAAATTAGATTTCAGTTATGTAACGATTCACTAGATGCAAGAGGATTTACTATCCTGTGGATTTTAACTGGCTAACCTAATCATAAAATTGAGTGCACTACAAAGTGGTTCTCGGAAAGGTTGTAGTTTAGTACCTTAAAAATCCTCAATTCTCAAATGCTACAACTAATCATTTCAACAATTTAAATGCGTTAACTTAATTTCAATTGTTTATATGAACATGAGCTTGCAAACTCTAGTTTGAGTTAGTTATAAAGAAAGCAGAGATTGTACACCAAAGTGCATAGTTTAGGAAAAATTTAAGCTTTGGTGCAAGTTCTTCTTTGGATATGAATTCTAGCAATAATAACCAGAAAGTCAACAATGAACTGAACGTTATGTAGTTGAATAATTACAGAAGCTTTGAGATCAAGACCTGATTATTAGGCCAAATCTAAATTTGATAGCTTAAACCTTCATTAGAAGACTCAGAACTATTTTTGGATCTGGATATATATTCACTCCTCCCTTCGGTTTGGAGATGAATTATCTCACATCTTGCACACTAACATTTAAATGTCACCATACAAGTCACATTCATGTCAAGTTAAGTGTATCTCAAATACACTTGGTACACAATTTAAGTGATCCTATTCCTGGGCTCAAATTAAAGAGCTAACAGACATTTAATTTTCTTTTAAAAATAACCTGGAACAAAGACATTGCTGAAGCCATCAGTTGCAGCATTTGGGAATTGAAGTTTTGTTTATAAAAAAAGATTTATTTTTTAAAAAGTGGAACATGAATTAAAACAAACCAATTTCTTGAAGAAAGAAGAATTCTTCAACTTTGTAATACTCTCAGAATTAAACGATTAGGTTGGCCGAGTTAAAGTCTACAAGGATAGTAAATCCTTTTACATCATCTGATCCATTATATGACTAAATCTAGTTTTACAGGTTACTTACCACAGCATCATTCATAATAAGAATGATTTACAGAAGATTTGTGCCATTATCTAACAAAATTTCTCACATGAATGTGTCATTACAAAATGAACACCAGTTTGCAACGCATTTAATGTCAGTACCAAGATAGGCAAATTGAAATGCCACAGAATTGTAAGAAGGGCTCTTTAAGGCAATAAGAATTATGAAACATGCAAAACATAAATACTGATATATTAAGTTGGTTTGGAAAATGGATGGACAAAGACTTTGCTTCCATGAAGATAGACAAGAATCTTGCTCAGGTAAATTCAGATACCTTTTTTCATTGGTTGTGGGCTTCACTAACTTGGTGAGTACTTATTACCTCTCACTAATTGCTCTCAAGGTGGTGGTAGGGGTCTGCCTTCTTGAACTGCTGCAGTCCACATGGTATAGATACACCCCCACTCCCCGCAGTTAAGAAAGGAGTTCCAGGATTTTGATCCAGTGACAGTGAAGGAATGACAATACAGTTCCTAATCAGTATGGGGTGCTTATTGTGTTCCCATGCAGCATCCCGCACAGGGGGAAGGATACACATTATAATTTATATACAACTACCCTGAAAGTAATCATCCAATTATACTTGGGAAGGATTGTATTATAGATAGAAATCAAAAAACCCTTTTCATTGCAGAATTTAATCTTTGTTAAGTAGGTGCTTTTGCTCTGAAATTACAAATTTGCAGGTTGTTAATGTGGAGACAATTTTTCTTCTGAATGATCTTAAATAATTGGAGGATAATTTGGCATCTTGAATCACTCGCTTTATCACAGCATTTACAAAATGGTCCTAATTGCTTAGGCCTGCTCATAGTTTTGAAGTATTTTCTAAATGTAATTTAACCCAGCTCTCTTGTTCTGTCTTTTAACCTCTGCCCTCTCCAACCATAATTGCTCAATCAGACAAATTTCCAAATCAAGGAAGCTAGGCCTCCTGGTACCACACAGAAAAGAAAATCTATAAAAGGAAATGTGATGTCAAAAGCATGACCAAGGTTGGAGTCACATTTCAATATCATGTGTTCTACTCCTAGCAGCCTAATGGAGATAGATAATGCCCCTTTAAGAGGAAGAACTGGTGGAAACAATCTTGAAGTGCAGCGATTGGGAAATCATCCTTTGAATGAAATGACCTGGATTTAAATGTGGTTCGAGTTAAAGTGCTCTTTTAAAAAGAGCCAAGAAATTGTGTAATCTTAGTATGTAATGTCCTGTTCAGCAACTGAGTGACTGGAACTGCATTGGAATAAATCCGGGTGGGGATTTAGGTGTATTGTGTGCACACAGCTGGTAAGCTTTACTGTGGTCCATGAAGCAAGTCACCTTGGAGTGCTCCATATGGCCATGGATACAAACATAGGGCATTCCCTCCTAACATCCTCACCTGAATAAAGCACAAGCATTCGAGGATTCTAGGCCATCCTGGAAGAACCTAACTGGGGAGTAGATATTTTACCTCTCATCTGGTGCCATCACACCACATAACAGGTGTTACACAAACTCAGCCATAGGGGAATTAAACACACAATCACCATAGGCTGGGTCTCTGTGCCATTGGCTGTGTGTAGAGAAGGGTGTGCTTCTTTTTCCTACCTCTGGGCTACAAGGTCCAGGTTTAAGTCTGAGCTACACTGTAGGTACAGGTTGATGAAAAAGTATTTTGAAAAAGCAGTCTCCTTTCATTTACTTTGACATCCAGCATAATATACATGTGAGATAACAAGGTGTAGAGCTGGATGAACACAGCAGGCCAAGCAGCATCATAGGAGCAGGAAGGCTGACGTTTCGGGCCTAGACCCTTCATGTGTGTGGGTGACATTCCTACACACTCTGGATCACAGGAAACCTTTTTGCTGCCACAGAGGATTAACAGTCCAGTAAGTGGGTATAAAAAGCAGCTAAAGAATGACATTTGCAATTGTATGGCCTGCTAATCCTTCCGTTACTTTACAGCCACTCATTAAAAGCAGTGTGGTCTGTAAACTTGCCCTGTAAAGGAATGTGAACAAGCAAGCATTCATTAGCTGGGAGAAGAGATTATTTGAGTAATACTTTCGAACTGCGCACAGCACTGGAAGTGGATGCCTTTCGTGAATCTTGTCACTGGAAGTACACATGCTGGACTGTAATGTACACAGATCACTAGCAGTCTCAATCTCATACCCGAATCTAAAGCCTGGTCTGGACTCCTGGGTTAAAACTAGCCATGGCCTTGTACTCGTGCTTCACAGTGCACTTGTACCACAGGCCTGCTCCACCTTGTCTGGCTTTACGGGGATTATTCATCTCATCCATGCATTACTGCACGTCGTTTTGTGAACCTGCCAGGTAGACAGTATTTTTAAACGAGAGTTTAACAGATTCAGTACAGCAGCTTTACTCATTTCCAAAAAAAGGTGAATAATCACCGAGTTTTCTCTTTGCCAACTGCAATTCAAGCACTGTCCAGGATAAATCAGCTTAAACTAAAACCAGAGGATTGTTTTCTTTTGAACAGCAGTGGAAAATGTTGAGGTTATTGCCCGCAATACTGCCTTTAAAAGAAATGCGTTCGAGGTCAGCGTATCATTCTGAAGTCGATTTTTTTTTTCTCTCCCATCCATTAAAGCTGGACGTACATTAGAAGCTCACATTCCAAAACTGCAAGGAAACACTGCTGACACGACTCCTAGGACACCCAGCGAGCGACAAGAATTTCATTTCAAGGAGGGAATTTAAAACGCCCTGGTCCAACTCATACGCCCATCTGCCGAACTGTTATGAGTTACAAAACTCAGTTTTGCTGCTATAAGGCTGATGCTTACAGACCTAACCCGAGAAAACAGAAAAGTTACACCAGGCAAGAAATGTCAATCCAGGTTTTCAATGACGCTGAACCTTTAAAACGTTCAGTTTGGAAAACTAGTTTGGGGCGATCGGGATTTGGAGTGGGAGTAGAAAGAAGGCAGAATATTGCCAAGTTATTTTGGAGGTGGAGATGACAAACTTATAGTCTAATACGACCGGGGTGGAGAAAGAATGAGAGTTTAGAAGCTGTTTGTTTGGAGAGAGCAACCCTTCCACACCCCACCACCACCACCACCATTCTGCACTTTATTTCCTGGCAGCTCCTGCAGCCCGTGTGTGGAGCCACTGTAACAATAACAGATCAGGGAAGTTGCTGTACTGTATTGCTGCTGCTTGCACTGCAACCCGGTTTCCTCTCTTTTTCTTTCTCTCTGTCTGTCTCTGTCTCTCACACACACACACAAAAGACTCACCAACTATCCCACAGGGCTCCTTCGAGAGTGCCTTTCCTCTTTTACTCTGTAGGTCCGTTGTTCAGTTCAGTTGTTTATTTTTAAAAATTAAAAATTAAAATGACTGCAGTCAAAAACAAAAACCTATCTCGAGAGGAAAAAAAAAACAAAGGTGACTTCAATCAGTCACGGTGTATTGGAACAATCACAAGCCTGCAGTGAAGAAGCATCAGTAATTTGTACACAGCCCTGTCTACTTCTGGAGCAGCGCTTTCCATTTCAGGCAAAAGATGAAGAGCCGCCGCGCGGCTCCATGTAACCATTTCCATGGACCAGCCCATTCACTGGAGAGGGGGGAGAGTGCTTGAGAAAAGAGAGGGCCCTTCTCACAGAGTCGCTTATCTCCTTTACATTATCGTGCAATCCTACCACACCATATACTCTGCTGCAATTACTCGGCAACTCTTGTTTTAGGACACAAAATGCTTATACATCAAAAATGAAACCAAACATACAATCCACTCCCCCCCACCAAGCTTTTTAATTTAGCACATTCCAGTCTGTCTGTATTTGTCAGAGTGACAGGAAGTGAAGCCTGGCCTGAACTGATCCTTAAATCTACTGTATTCCAGTTTAAGGATTGATACATACAGCAGCAATTGTCTAAATTGAAGCCTCGCTATCTCTCTTATTAGATAATCCATTTAACCGGGTCAGGTGGGAAAGAAGGTTAAACATTTGTTTCCATATGGAATCCATATTTTTGTTTAAAAATAATAACATTTGTTCTGTGTGCTGCTTTAAAAAAAAAGTTACACGAGCAGCTTCTTCGAGCTATTATACCAAAAGTTTTCACTTATTTTTCAGACAAGTTAATTAGATTGTCAATGCTGGGAGTACAACCTATAGAGGACGTACTTGCGCAATTTGTCAAGAGAGGTACATTGATATATTTCCACTATGTAGAAACGGCAGGTAATTTCTAAGAGCTATTTATCGAAACATTATTTTCGCTATTTAATATCTAAAGTGGGATCACCTTTCTTACAACAAATGCAAATCCTGAAATTTAGCACTGTCTATCCGAACGTTGTCAGGCAACAGGACAGCACAAATCTCTCCTAATACAAATACTTTCCAACTACACATTTCCAATAAACCAAAACTTTCTAAAAAAATCTTTCAGCTACAGTCACTTACTGCTTCATAATCAGTACGGATCTATAACACAAAAGCTACACGTGCTTTTTTTCTTAAAAAAATAGAGATTTATTATAGTCCTATGTACCGGAATGACCAGGTCTCTGCTTCACAGTTAATGCTGACATTAACGTCCATATTAACTGACTGAAAAAAATGGAGTCATGTGAGCAAATTGCTTTTCAGGTTAAAGTGGTGCGGGTGCTACAAACATTAGGTTGAGTCATAGATGAGAAAATTGCCCAGAGAGGAGAGATTACGTAGATCAGGCATCTTTTCCTCAGAACAAAAACAAAGTTGCTGGAAAAGCTCAGCAGGTCTGGCAGCATAGGTGGAGGAGAAAGCAGAATTAACATTTCGGGTCCGGTGACCCTTCCTCAGAACTCACCGGGTCACCGGACGCGAAACGTTAACTCTACTTTCTCCTCCACAGATGCTGCCAGACCTGCTGAGCTTTTCCAGCCACTTTGTTTTTGTTCCTGATTTACAGCATCTGCAGTTGTTTTGGTTTTGTTTTATCTTTTCCTCAGATCCTGGGCTACCTCATTTCAATTTATAAAGTTCTTGGAGGTATTGTGTGTTTTACGCTGCAAATGTATTTCCCTGGAGTTATAGAGGTTTGCCATTTAGGACAAAGATGAAAATTTTCTTTACTTAGAGGTTATAAGATTTAATGAGTTCTTTACTTTAGTGACCTGTGGAGTAAATTGTTGAGTAGGTTCAAAAATGAAGGTGGGTGGATTTTAAGGGAATCAGGAATATGTGGATAAAGCTGAAAAGTGGAGTTCCGACAATCTATGCAAGACATACATATGGATAGCAATGTGTTCGTTTGACATTTTGAACCTATTCACTCAAGTGGTCAGAGACCATTGTGTTGCATCATTATATAATGGCATTCTAGATGTTCTGCCATTATCTGAATCTGAAGTGTCAAACATTAAATGTAAATCTACAATTGGAGAACATTGAACAAATAATCCTAAATGTGCTAAGAATTACACTAACAATAAATTGAAAATGACCAGATAGGCTGACAATTTGGCTTACTACCACTTGCTAAAAGCTATGTGTATGCACACTTACATCATCTTCAAAGAGAGGGAACACATCTAGGTGTTGCATTGTTTCAATTAAAGAAAAGCAGAGGGACAACTTTCTCTCGTTCCATTCCCAGAGCAATGCTTTGACTATAGAACAGTCTTTGTGCAGAAAGACACCATATAACACTGAATACCTAGTGCCAATCTCTTGCCATTTTCCCACATGCCTGCACACTATTTCTATCCAAATATTCATCAGATGTCTGCTTGAATGTTTCAAGTGAACCTGCCTCTACTACATTTCCAGTCAGCTCATTTCATACTCTAACTACTCCCTGTGTGAAAAAGCTTTTTCTCACATCACCTTTGTTTTGTTTGTACATCACTTTAAGTCTATGCCTCTCGTTCCTTTTTCTTTTACAGTTGGGAACAGCTGCCCCCCCCCTCCCCCATTTACACTGTCCAGCCTACTCATGATTTTGAAAACCTCTATAAAACTCTCATCTCAACCTTCTGTGCAACGAGAACAGTCCAACTTCTTCAATTTATCTCATAACTGAAATTTCTCATTCCTGGAATCATTCTCGTAAATCACTTCAGCATTCTCTCCAGTGCAATCACATCTTTCCTACAATGTAGTACCCACAGCTATAGTCAGTATACCAGCTGGGTCTAACAAGTGACTTGTACACGTTCAACATCACCTACTTGCCCCTGTACTCGATACCCCTATTACTAAAACTAAGAACACTATGCTTTACCAATTGCTCTCTCCACCTGTTCTGTCACCTTTGATGATCTGTGCACATATATGCCCAGGTCCCTCTACTCCTGCACCTCCTTTAGATGTACCCTCTATTCTAAATTGTTTTTCAACATTCTTCCAAACAAAGTGCATTACCTCACATTGTCTGCATTGAACTTCATCTGCCACCTATCTCTCCACTCCCTCAACTTCCACACTGTCGTTCTCACAATTTACTATTCTTCCAAGTTTTGTTTAATCTCATCTATAAATGTTGATATTGTCCCCTGTATACCAAGATGCAGATCATTAAGATATATCAGGAAAATACTGACTCCTGGGGAGCTCTACTATAAACTTTCCTCTTGCTCGAAAACTATTCACTGACCATTCCTCGCTGATTTCTATCAGACAATTTTGTGCTACTGATCCTTTTATTCAATGACCTATCCCTTTCCTCACAAGTCTGTTGTGTGACACTGTATCAAATGTCTTCTGGAAATCCATGTATATCACATCAACAGCATTGCTCTCATCAAGTCTTTCTGTCACTCTTCAAAAACATCCATCAAGTTAGTTAAACACAATTTCCCTTTCAGAAATCCATGCTGACTCTTCCTTATCAACCCACCTTTTTCCACGTGACTACTAATTCTATCTCAAATAATTGTTTCTAGAAGTTTCCCCACTACTGAAGTTGAACTAACAGGAATTAATTGTGACATTTCTTGAACAAGGCCATAATGATTGCAATCATTCAGTCTTTTGGCACCTCCTCCACATCCAGGGAACACTAAAAGATTCTAGCCAGTGTACATGCAGTTTTTACCCTCACTTCCTTCAATGCATCTCATCTGGTCCCGGTGCCATGTCAACTTTAAGAATTCAGAAACAAATTGCCTTTTTTACATCAAAATAAAAACTTGGTGGATGGTTGGGGTCGGGGCGGGGGATGTGATGGGGAGGCCGGGTACCTGTTCCCAGATGTAGTCTCCAAAGCAACAGCTCGAACAATCAGAGACTGTGCCAACCAATCAGTACTATTTCTCAGGCAGTCTAAATCTTGTTTCCTTTGAAAGTTATGACTGTGTTTTTATTTGTAATTTATCAGTATTCAAATTAATAGCCCGCATTAGCACAATTCATTTGAATTAAAAATGTAACTTTTTTTGATAGGTGTCACTCTTAATAATGGTCTAATGAAGATATTCAAAGTAATGAAGGGTTTGGTCGAGCAGATAGGGAGATACAAGGTTGTGGAGGTATTGAGGGTCTTGCCTCCTAGATAGAGTGCTGAAGGGAAACTTGTGTTGTCTCCTTGAGGAAGGCCTATTGCTATTAAGAGTCATTCAGGCACTTAGGTGGTGAGTGGCAGGCATATCCTGGGATCAAGAAGCCCAGGGTGGAAATGTCACTTACTGAAGTATGGTGGCCATTCAGACATCAGCGGTCCTTTCGATAAGCAGTGTCACTGGGGAGGCACTGTGGCACCAAGCTATTGCTAGAACGACACTTAATGAAATTCCAAGACTGAGGAGAGACCCAGGCCACAGGTGGGAAGGGTTTCAGGGGTTCGGAGTTGCAGGTAGAGTGATCTGGGGATGGCCAGCAGCAAGGCTAGAGGATGGCTGTCAGAGGTCATCCCCTTTCTGATGGTGCAACCCATTATCAGGCACTCGCAATATTAGAGTGAGGGGCTGCCTCCAATGGACACCACAAGTAGGTGGAACTTTTGGCTGTAATGCTTGCTACATATAGACAGGCCCACCCACCACTTGGTTAATAATCAATCAATCAATCAATTCCTGACCCTCCCCACTAAATTCTGGCAGAGGCAAGATATAGCAGGATTCAGGCACACCGCCACCCTGCCTAATTAATGACCATCCCACCGCTGAACATTCCATGAGAGAATCTGTCAAATTCAACTTTCTGTTTCCATTGGCTGGAGGATTAATAACTAAATTTAAAATCAGTGGTATAAAAATCAAGGGAATACACAATTTGATTTACACTGCAAGCTGTTACGATCTCAAAATAAATGACTGAAGGATTGCTTTAAGTTGACTTGATAATAATTTCAGAATGAATTATTTACAGGGCTGTAGGAACAGAGTGGGATTAAGAAAAAACTGTTTCACAGTTGCTGTAGGGTAATGAGGGGGAGAAGAGGTGGCTGCAAATGGGATGGAGCGAAATGGGAGGCTGCAAAGTCAGATGGGGGAGACATGATGGCTGCAGGGGTTTGGAAAACTGGAAAGGTGTAGACGGGGAGTCTGCAAAGCGGAATACAGGGAGGTGGGCAGTTGATAGGAAGTTGGAAAGGAAGCAGGGAAGAAAGG